CCAATTTTCAAATGCTTTTGGTTAATCACAAAATTAAATATAAAAAGGGCAATGAAAATGAACATCTGAAATATTATTGAAGACCATAAAGTAAGATCTAAAAAGTATGTGTAAAAGTATCAATAGATAAAAACTTCAGTTCTCCCAGAATTATCATATAAGTGTCATGCAATTTCATTTAGAGTCCATCAGGTTTTTTTTATATATGGAAAAAAGATCTTAAAGTTTGTAAGAAAAAGAAATGCCTGAGAATCGCCTTTAAATGAAAAATGAAGACCAGTGAAGGGAAATTTAAGTTATAAGTTACCATAAGATAATAGAGAACCACTGAAATTAAATCAATATGGAATTGGTACAATGTGAGATAAAATAATTAGTAGGCTAGAGTAGGGAGTCTTGAAATAGAGTCCAGTATGTATAAGAATTTAATATAGGATAAAAGTGTTGATTCAAGTCACTGGGGAGAAATTAGATTAGTTAATAAGTGGTGCTGACATAACAAGCCATTCATCATGGTAAAAACAAAATTGGACTTGAATCTTAAACCATATACAAAAGATGAATTCCAGGTAGATTAAAGATGTGAATGCAAACAATAAAATAATTTTTAAATTTTTAAAGAAAATTCAGGAGACTCTGTATACTACCTAGAGATAACAGAGTTGTTCTTAAATAGGACCAGAGATCCAGAAACTACAAAAGAATAGTTAGGCATATTGACTATCAAAATTAAAAACTTTTTTTTTATTAGAAAAGATAACATCTGCAGAGTCAACAGTAATGTTGCCAAATAATATTTTTATACATTTATAATTTTTCAACTTTGAAAATATTCACTTCTCAAGTTGCAAAAATTTTTACTCAAATAACATTTCAAAAGGGAGAGATGTAAATGTAAATGATGAAAAGAATACTATTTGAAGAATATACAATAAGCCTTGAACAAATGAAAAGACATAGTACTCTCTTGGCTCAAGAATCTCAATACTCAATATTCAAACAAGTTTAATTCTTTCAAAATTAATTTTAAAAACTCCATGCAATTCTAATTCAAACAGAATTTTAAGAAATTTAAGTAAAATTAAATATTTGAATAAATTAGATAAGAGTTTATATAGAGAAGGACATTTCTGAAAATAGTGTTTTAAAATATATATAAAAAAGAGCAGTGGTCCTCAAATATTTGGAAAAGTATTTATAATGCATATGATGAGAACATTTTAATATCTATAACATATAAAAGCTATTTAAAATAGAATGAAAAACACTAACAACCCAGTAGAAAAAGGAACCAGTGGGATGAGGAGACAGTTCACAAAGAGAAAACATAAATGGTCAGAAAGCATGTGAAAAGCTGCTCAAATTTACTAGTGGGAGGGGAAATGCCAATGAAGTGAGAGCCAAATGTCACTTACACCCATCACATTCTGTGTTTTGTAAGTGTGGAGGAGGACACGCAGTTAGAAAGGTCTTGTGTAGGAAGTAGATTTGAGCTAGGCTGGTTTTAAAGGGAGAGAAAACGCTGATCAAGGGGAAGGTCTCAAATATTTTCTGTTGAAAATAATTGTGTTGGGGGACAGAAATCTGACGGCAGAGGCTCTGACAGAAAGGCTGTAATCCTGAACAGAAACAGGAATTTGAGAAGAGGAGGTTAGATACTGTGTGATGATGGATGGGTCATCACTTTAGATTTCCACCATAGTTGCTTCGTACAACTTCACTCTTTTCTGGGGACCAAGATTCCCTAAACAATTGCATAGGAGAGGAAGCAGTATGGTTTAATTTAGTGCTTAAAAAAATGGCCCCTGGAACAGAACTACTACACACACAGTAAGTTCCCTACATACAAATGAGTTCCATTCTGAGAGCATGTTCATAGGTCCAATTTATTAGTAAGTCCAACAAAGTTGGCCTAGGTACCCAACTAACACAATTAGCTATATAGTAGTGTACTGTAATAGGTTTACAATACTTTTCACATAAATAATACATAAAAAACAAAAACAAAAGCATTTTGAAACTTACTGCACAATACCTCACATTCATGTGACAATGGATGCCAGACATGTGAACTAACTTATGTGATTGGACATGCAAACACACATTTGCATCTTTGAAAGTTCACAACTTGAAGGTTCATATGTAGAGGACTTACTTTATATAATTTTTTTTCAATGTTTTGCCGGAGTAGATTACATATAGCATAAAATTTACCTTCTTAACTGTTTAAGTATGCCGCTCAGTGGCATTAAATACATTCATAATATTGTGCTACTCTTACCACCATTTGTTTCCAGAACTCTTTTCACCCTGTAAAAGTAAAACTCTATATTCATTAAATAATAACTCCCCATTCTTCCTGTCCCCAAATAGGGTGTTCTATAAAAGAAATAGTAAAAAGAAAAAAGTGATTTCCAAATGTAATCTTTTAGAGTTGAATTCCAAAAGGAAACACCAGAACTACTTTTCTCCACGTTAACTGTAGTCTCTCAGGAAAGAAGTAAGTAATCACTGAAAATTTTGAGCAAAGAAAGATTGTGAAGAAAATACTACTTAAAGAAAGTTAATGTGGCAACACTGTATTAGAAAGTCTAGCCTCGTAAGAGGCAAGTGTCCCAGGGGTCATCTGGGCCATGACTATGCTAATCCTCACAGGAAGTAATCAGTGTCTGAAGAGATTCACTGACTGTGGGGGTGAAAATGAGGCAGAGAGAAGGCTTCATGTGAGAGGCAGACATGAGAGATGCCCAAGTATAGTCGTGCCTTATATGAATTGTTTTACAGTTTGCAAGGTACTTTCACTTATAAAACAACTTTGTGACTCAGGACGCTGCAGTTGTGCCAGAGACTGGGGACTTGTCTGGATGACATGTTCATGAAAGGGCCAAGATGGACTATGTCTTCTCATTCCAAATGATGAAGAGGTAGAGGACATGGACATTACTTTAGATTTCTACTACAACTACCTGACTTCTTACAACTTCACTCCTTTCTGGGGACAAAGATTCCCATCCGTTGCATAGAAGAGGAAGCAGATACTGGAGAATGTGGTTTGGTTTAGTGGTTAAGAAAATAGACCCTGGAGCAAGACTACCTGGGTGAAAGCTCCTGGTTCTGTTATATGCTTGCCGAGTGACCTTGAACAAATTACTTAACTTCTCTATTTTCAGTTTGCTAATCTATAAAATGGGAGTGATGGCTATAGTATCTACTTAGGGTTGTAGTGAAAGTTAAATGAATACTTAAAATGGTGTCTGGTCCCTAGAAACATCACATAATTTCATAGGAATAATTTTACTATAGATAATCAAAATAGTTGTCTATTCTGCATTTTTTAATGAATTCATACACAGAATGGAGCAGAAATAGAGACACTGGCTCTTAGATTCTGGTCTTAACTTCATTCTATCACACTCCTATTTGAGAGTTCTAAGAAGAAAATTTTGATATTTGAGCTTTTATTCTCATATTTCAAATTCAGTCCACAAAAATTCTACTGTTTAATCCCCACTTGGGCTTTAAGGTAAATTTTTTTTTTTTTAATCTCAAATTATTTAGCAACTGAGTGATCAGTTGCTTAAGCGGATTGTAATTTGCAAGCAATATTATATCTGTTCTTATTCTTTGTGTCATTCTTATTGATCTGTGGTATACAAACTCAACAGAAAAGGGGAAACCTGGATAGATGAATAACTAGGGCTTTTGGAATGAACTTAGTGTG